ATAGCACGTGCGGTATAGGACGCAACGTTGTATGACCTTCGCCAATTCGGATTCGTCTGCGAACCTCTGCAGTACTGACCCGCTTTACAAAAACGAATCACCTCAGGCAGCACAGGTAATGTCAACCACTTCTGTGCCCGCCGCCAGGACAGTCGAGGTAACTCAAAAGCCGAGAGAGAGCCGGGGACGACGCCATCTTGCTGTTGCCGGTGGCGCGCCAGGTCGATGAGAACATACTTCGTACAATATATAATCCTGCGCCGCCAGTCGTCATCTGCATCACTGAAATCAGGCCAAGTATACATGTGCAGTAAACAAACATTTAATTCTGTGTATCTTAATGTTGCATTGTATTATACGTATTAAATGTCTTTTTTATACGTGCGTGTTGGACATGCCCTCGTCTCATGCATGTAACTGATATGTTTATCGTCTTTACTTTGTTTTTAAGTGTAAGTATATTCTCAGTAATGTAAACACTGTTTAAGAATCCACATTTTGATTTTATCCTTTCTTTTAACATCGAGCAAACTGATAAGATAACACTTAACAGAAGCAACGATATGATTAATAGATAACATGAACAGCTTAAAAGAATCGGTTAATAATAGTCACTTGAACTTGAATGCTAAAATAACAAATATGAAAGATTAAAAAATATCTGAAAGATGTTAGAAAACTAAAACATACACAGAAGGTAATTTACAAAATGAAGGAAAATAAATCTAGTTGCAACCAAGGTCGAACAAAATTCTTCCAACTTCATCAAATCATCACAATATATAAAGGTTCAGGAGAGAGACCCATGTGCTAGCGACCACCGTGTTTTTTATTGTCTCGTCGCAACATCAGACCAGAAAATTCCTGCAGGAACAGGTAGGGGGGAGGGGGTAGGAGGCAAGTAGAGGGGGAGGGAAGGGGGAGTAGGCAAGTAGAGGGGGGAGGGGTGGGAGGCATATAGAAAGGCAAGTAGATGGTGGGAGGGGCGTTGATAGAGAGGGGGGAGGGATTGACGCAATGTGTGTATTTGTGTATGTATGCATGTGTGTATGTATGCATGTGTGTATGTATGCATGTGTGTATGTATGCATGTGTGTAGGTATGCATGTGTGTAGGTATGCATGTGTGTATGTATGCATGTGTGTATGTATGCATGTGTGTATGTATGCATGTGTGTATGTATGCATGTGTGCATGTGTGCATGTATGCATGTATGCATGTGTGTAGGTATGCATGTGTGTAGGTATGCATGTGTGTAGGTATGCATGTGTGTAGGGTGCATGTTTGCATGTATGCATGTGTGTATGTATGCATGTGCGCATGTGTGCATGTATGCATGTGCGCATGTGTGCATGTGTGTATGTGTGCATGTATGTATGTATGTATGTATGTATGTACATGTATGCATGTATGTATGCATGAATTTATGCATATAAGTATGCATTTATGTAAGTATGTATGTATGTTTTTAAGGTTACTTTCATGGCTGACCAATTGACACTAAATCACGACGTCAAAATCACAACAGAAAGGAAGAAACACTTACAATGGGTTCTCTCTGGAAGTAGTCCTCTGCAAGGAATGCAACGACCTCGTCAAAGTCGTCCTCCTTCAGGAAGAAATATTCGATGTCGTCCTCACCCGCCATCATGCAAGAATAAGAAATCCTCCCTGGGAATGAATACACGTTTTTATAAAGTTTCAAATCGCTGGGAAATAACCATGCGGTCTTAAAAAAACAACAACTTATCTACCACTAGATAATATACATATATGGCCTTATATATTTTCCTAACCCTTAGAAATAAATTTAGGTCTTATAAAGTTTCCTGTCGCTGGGAAATGAATACTCTCTATGAAGATTATAAAGTTTTCTATCTAGGTGAATGAGGCAAAGGCAGATCCGGCTACTATAGTGAATGTAGTATCTGATCCCAGTATATATCTGTCTATCCCTTATCAGTTGCACCTGACGATTCCAGTCTAATAATAGATGGAAGTCGATAATAAGAAAGTTGTACAATACGTTATACTTTGGTATACATTTACAGGAAAATGTACTGGCGCTATACTAACCAAAGATAAGAAAATACACGTACTAATATATAATAATTTGTGTAGGCAAAAAAATAAAAAGTTTTTGATCAAGTCCACGGCGATCGGGTTAGATTAGGTTAGATTAACTGGTTCATACGACGATGTTTGTGGATTTCCCAGGAATGGCTGGAGTAATAGGGACTGAAGCTCAGAGTGGTAAGGTCACTTCGTAAATATTACCAATACTTTCGTTTATAACATTTGCAACGGAAAATAACAAGAGATTTAGGCATATTACGGCGCTGATAATTGAAGGAGGGAATAATAGTTGCAAGATTGGATGGTTGTGTGAACCAAAAAAAAAATCTACCAATGATAATGATAATAATAATAATATCAACAATTAAATAAAGAAAAAAATAAACAAAAATGCGGAGAACTTAAACCCAAATACATTGAAGTG